AGCGAATAAACTGTGATAATGTGAGAAATGTTTAAGGTGTCTGAATAAATTTAGGTTTGACTGCATCTATTTGATAAATGAAGGTAACCAACTAACATTATACATACCCTTTTGGTTTCTGTACCCAATATTTAAAAAATGTACAAATGCATGAAAAATATCGGTATCGGTACTTGGTATCGGCAAGTACCAAAAATAAAAGTATCGGTATCGGGCGAGTACTGGAAAAAGTGGTATCGGTGCATCCCTAAGTATAATACATGCGTGTGCGCAGCTGGAATTTTTTTTTTTTGGACTTTCCTATTCAAAATTAGAACAATAATTGGCGTTGGTGTGAACATTTCTTATGCATTGATTTGCTGTATTTCAGGTCTTTTGATGAAAATTCAGAGCCAAAACTCTTCAAATCGCATAATTTAGTGGAACAATAATATAATATAGAATCATCCTCTTTAAAGAAATGAGGCATGAACATATGATAATTTATCATTATCTTTATAAATGTGAGCTAAAGACGCGATTCAATATGTGTGTCCTTCTATGTGAAATGATCATAAATACCAGTTCATGCTGTTTGATTATGGCCTCGAAGGTCGTAGTAGGAAGCGGTTAGCCCTTGCGTACCCTGTGGAAATGCGGCTAATAATTTCTGACTGGCATATAACAACAAATCAAACAAAAGTAAATGGCTAAAGGCGGGGCCCCCTACAAAGCGGGGCCCATGGGCTACAGCCCAGTCAAGCCCAATGGTAAGTCCGGTGGTCTCAGACCAAGAAGGTCAGCAGATTTATTAGATATTTAGATATTTTTGCAGATTTGTGTCCAGAAATCAGCATCAGGAGTAATAGATAGGTCTGATTCCCATTTAGCGTTTGGTAAACTTAATGTGTTTTCTGATCTTGATATTATTCTGTATATTTTGGAGAATAGTTTTGACACACAGACATGCTTTACAGTCATAAATGCATTCAGTGTGAATTTGAAACATACTTCCAAAAGAAAGCCAATTAGAGCTTTATCAAAAAGCTGTAACATGTCTCTAGAACAGACATATGGCAAAATAATCACTAAGTAAAGGTGCAACAAAATGTCTCTAGAATAGACATATGGCAGAAAAAGAAAAAAAAAAGTGTCCAGGAATTTTTTTGCCATGCATTGGTCATAGAGCTCTTTGTGGCGTTACCTCAGATGTTGAAATAGATTTGTTGCGCCAAGTTCACACGTACTCCATCTGCAGTGCGTATACAGTAGTGATGGGAGAAACGAAGCATTGAATCAATTGAACCAATTGCTTCAAAAAATGATTCGACGTTTCGAAGCACTTGAAACAGCACATGCTGGCGACACCTGCTGGTGAAAACGTTGTAAAAGCATCAAGAACTCAGACCAAACTTACAAAACAAATGGAAATGTTTTTTTAGAAATATCATTTTTTTAAATAAATAATAAACACTTAAATACTATTAAATATTAGTGCTTGTGTTATGTGTTTTATTTAAGTATAATCAAACTCTTAACACACAATGAACTAAATTAATTATTTAATGAATTAAGTGATTTATGTAATTTTTTTAATTAAGTGTTTTCATTAGAGCTGTCTATAAAAACCAGCGGCAAGAGTAGTGTTATTAGTCAGGAGAAGGAGGTGGATTTAATTCTATCGTAAGCTCATTTTGTTATTTTTAAGGTATGATGTGATTTGTAGGTTGAAAGTACTGACTGTTTTTACAATTTTTTTTAAAACTATATAGCCATCTGTGTTAAAGGGAAGTTATCTTTTGTTTAACCCACAACATCTGGCCCTGAATTCTTTATTTTTTATAGTACAATTTCGTGGGTTTTCATGTCACATGATTAACTGGGCAACCAGAAGTGGTTCATGGGTTCACTTTGAGATCAACACCCCCTAGTGGTGAACCATCGGCGTTTCGAAACGTTTCGAAACAGTGTGATGTATCGAAGCTTCGTTTGCTAAAATCACGTGGCCTGGCCGGTTTGATATGCGCTCCAAAACACTGATTCGAAACAAAAGATTCACAAATGTTTCGAAGCTTCGTGAAGCAGTGTTTCAAATGCGCCCATCACTAGTATACAGTATGTGTATGCGGTGCAGAAGCAGCACGGACTAATTTTGCTTTCGCACAGGTAATTACTAAATTTCCGTGTCAATCCATGTTAATTTTTACCGCGAATAATGCGGTCACTTTAATTCAGCGCATGCAGCACAGCAGAAATAGACTCCTTGCGGAAACGATCGCTGCACTGCTGCAGACGCACCGCTCCTGGAGCGCACTGCCGGACCACAATCACGTGCAGTGAACGCTCTGATCCGTTAACACTGGGTAGATGAGTTCAAACTGCTCATTTGCGGTCAACTGTAATACTGTGTGAGATTTCCATTCGAACTGAAAGCATAAATATACTGTAGGGTACGCGCTGCCAGTTTCAGAGCAAAATGCAAAACTGTGACATTGACGCCGCTTCACCAGAGATTATCTTACTATAGGGAGATACGAGGGTCTGTATTACTTACTATTGGAGAAAGCGTAACGGTCAACTTGGATCACGTGTGCCTTAATAACCAATCACATTACAGCCTTGAAGTCATTGAATTTCAGTCAGAGTTGTGCGACACTCAATCACCGTTTACAGTTAACATAGGAATGAATAAGAAGTGCCGTAATCTGTATCCCACCTGTCGCAAAAATTCAGTGATTTCTCTTAAATAAAACGGCATTTTTTTTTCTGTGTAAACTCTAAAAAATAGTTAAATCCAAAAGTATTGTTTAGTGTAAAACATGTTGAAGATTAGCGGATAGGCTGTCGATTCATTAAATGATAAGCTGTTTCCTCTAAAAAGCTGTGTATTCAGCATTGTGAAGCCTCTCCTTAATGACATCCATTAAAATAACGACCTCTGGTCTCCTTTCCCACGTTCTGCCACAGCGAAAGCGTTAGCCGATATGCTTTTTGGCTAAAGGTTGCAGGATTGCCTTCTATTGGCTTTGGCTTCACCTGGCAGCGCATACACTTACTTCCCGGCAACCCGCCAAAATAAACATTTGCTGATTTTAGTTTCGAAAATGTTGAAAATTAATGTAAAAATAAACAAGAAAATGGAAATATTAGCTTTGTATTTTTGAAGTGTACTATAAAGTAATTGTATTTTTGTTTAATATTACATTTTATTCTAAAATATAATAGTATTTTCATACTTTTTATTATTTTGTTTATTTTATAAAAAAAAAAAAAAACGACATATAGTTAGGGCTGTGCATCACCAGCAAAGTCACGATATGATACGTATCACAATACAGAGGCCACGATACGATACATATCACGATACACGACTGCACTGAATTTCACCTCAGCAGAATTTAGAAAAACAGCTGTTTATGAAACACTGCACACTATAGTGCCATTTCTAACTATTGGCAGAGCAGGCAGCTGACTTCTGCATTATGAAGGGCCTCCATAACTGTACCACAGTACAATATAGGTACTAGGGTGTTTACATTGTGCACTCCCCACCAGGTACAATATTCTGATTGTTTGCATCTTGTTTTTAAGCCCATAAATAATAATGTACTTGTTCTAATAAATTTATGAATGAATGAATGAATGATGCATTTATATAGCGCTTTACTGTGTATTGTTGTACACCCAAAGCGCTTTACAGTCATGTGGGGGGGTCTCTCCTCAACCACGACCAGTGTGCAGCATCCACTTGGATGATTTGGCTAAAGGTTGCAGGTGTTTATATTGTAATGTACTCATTCTAATATATTTTAAAAAATCATTTACATTGCTGGTAGTTTATCATTGCACAAATTAACACACTCTACAATTAAAAAAAAAAATTAGAAGAGTTCAAAACTAACGCGCTGTCTTCACTGTATCTAACGCACACACGCTCAAGGCTGATTTATACTCGACGCGTCCGCAAGTTCGCTTAGGTGCGCGCGGCAAATATGACGTCATCGCGGTGTTTTATGTCAGCAGGTTGAAGCGACCCCAATAACGTGATATTTAGGCCCTGGAATGTGTATTGTACCAGGAGAACCCTGCCAAAAAAATGTGTATTTTACCCCTGAACTCGATTTTTACTGGGGGACCCCCTCGAAAGCAATTGGGCTATTTTCAGGCTAGTTTTGAATAGTAATTGGGCGGGTTTTGTAGCGAAAACCTGGCAACCCTGCACCAGACGGCGATTCTTCCTATTGTGAAGTGGAGAGAGAGCGCGCGTGCACATGGTTGCCAGGTTGACAGAGAAGTAGCACTCTTAGCAGATATTTCCGTATTGCGCAAGTAGGAAGCTCTGTTTTGGGGATTATGTCTCTTTATATCAGGCATCCCAGTTGTGTTCCTCTGCGGCCAGATTAAACCTGGTTGTAGCCTATATATGCTCTATTCATTATTTTTTAGAAACCGCACTTTTCTACTCAGTTTTAAACGTTGTAAAATTTTAAACAAATTAAGCGCGGTCCACTGCTGCACACGTGCCACAATATCGATACAGGGCCAGCTGTATCGTCAAATCTCTGTGACGATACATCGTCGTATCGATATTTTGAACAAGCACTACATATAGTGCAATAATACTATTACTACTATTATAAATTTTTTTATAGTTATATTTAATGGGTCACACTAGGTGCTGTCATGAGAACCAGACTGAAAAACATATATTCCCCCTTCTTTATGATAGTTTTTTTTTTTTTTTGGAGTTTAAAAACTTCTATCAATTTAATTACACAAGAAGAAAGTGGAAAGAGGTGGAAGAAAGTACGTTTTATGGGTTTTGGCATGACAAGAGGCTAAGTAAATGGCAGAACATTAATTTTGGGATGAACTACCCATTTAAGCCAAAGTATTAGGCTAATATAATGTTAGGGCCATATTGGACAGGAATCACATGATTTAATCTTAAGTCCGTGATGAGGGAAGTCCCCCCCCCCCATACTGTATGTCATGTTTTCCATGTGTCTTTCCTGTTGTAGTGAACTACCGAGGCTCACTTGGTTTTGGTCAAGATAACATCCTCTCCTTACCAGGAAACATCGGTACACAGGATGTAAAAGACGTGCAGGTGAACACTAATGCTTATTGAGCTCCTACTCCCATCATCAGTGTAACCCAATATTTAAAATGTTTCACTGCCTTTTAAATATTTACAAATATGTGACCCTGGAGCACAAAAGCAGTCTTAAGTCGCTGGGGTATATTTGTAGCAATAGCCAACAATACATTGTAGGCTATGGGTCAAAATTATACATTTCTCTTTTATGCCAAAAATCATTAGGATATTAAGTAAAGATCATGTTCCATGA